AAGAGATTCCCTGTTGGGGTTGCCCGTCACTGAATGGGGGCGCCTCCAAATGGAGGATACCTCCCTCCTCGGGTGGCGTCGTCGCGTCGGGGGTGCTGGGCGTGTGAAGGGTGATTCGGATGCATGGGAAATGGTGCAAGATCTGCTGATGCATTGGGACGGCAAATCCCAGCGACATCGGCTGGTGGTCCCTTCTGGGTTGCGAGGCAAGGTGGTGTGGGCCGCGCATGAGCGCCTATTACACCTGGGGACCCAAAAGACTCTTGCACTGCTACAACTTGATTTTTTTTGGCCTGGCATGACGAGGGATGTTGGGGATCTATTGGGATCATGCCCTCGGTGTGCGCAACGGAAACCGCCGGCGCGGGAGTCTAACCCGCCCTTGCAATCGATCAAAGTGTCCAGAATAAATGAGCTTGTCGCGCTGGACATTTTGGGCCCATTTCCCGCCACCCCCAGGGGCAATAGGTATTTGTTGACTGGTGTCGAGTATTTTACACGCTGGCCTATGGCCTGGCCCCTGGCCAACCAGTCGGCAGCAGCCATCGTGGAGGCCTTTGTTCAGGGATACGTCCTGGACAAAGGTGCTCCGGAGCGGCTGCTGACCGACCAGGGCAGAAATGTTTCCGGTAAATTACTCAAACAAGTCTGTGACCTCCTAGGCACGAAGAAAATGCGTACCTCCCCGTATCACCCGCAAACTGACGGGATGGTCGAGCGCCTGCATCGCACCATTACGTCAATGATGTCACAGCAGGTCTTGGACTCACAGACTGACTGGGACCTGCATATTCAAGGGGTCTTGGCGGCATACCGGATGGCACCCCATGCAGCTACGGGATTTTCCCCCTTTTACCTCATGTACGGTCGCGAACCCGACCCGCCTGTTCGCGCCCAGCTGCAGATCCCCGAGCCGCAAGGGAAAACTAAATTGGCTGACCACGTCAAATTTAATCTGGCCAAATTAACAGAGGCGCGGGATGCTGCAATGCTAAACTCGGACCTCCGTCAAAAGGCGAATGAGCGCCTCAGGCTGGGTCGGGCGCACATGATACAGTGGAAGCCGGGGGACAAGGCATGGCTGCACTGTCCCCAAGTGCCACTGGCTACCTCCTCTAAGCTGGTGCGGCCGTGGCGGGGCCCTGTGGAGGTGGTCGAAGTTTTGCGACCACAGTGCGTGCGCATTAAATGGGGGAAGCGGCGATGGTTCGTGCACCCCTCTAGTTTAAAAACCCTTCGTTGCGGTACACAAACCCACTTCACACATGCGTGGCCAAACGTGTGGGGGGTCGACCGACTCATTGGGTCCGTCTCCGTCGTTCTCACCTAATGCCTTGCCGGCCGTGCCACCTCCAGGTGCATCAGGACTGACGGGCTCACGCCCGACCACCCCTCCTGGGGATACCGACGGTCGCGCGGCATCGGATGAGGACTCACTCCGGGACGGACAATTGCCACCTGACGGTCCGCCACCCGGGGTTACCCCGTGTGAGGGGCCCGCTGCAAGGACGCGCGCAAAAATGCGCAGACTGTTATGAGGCCGGAAGATGTGTACATAGGTTGTGTTCATCGTGTGTTGTGTGGGTGGTGTGTTCCCTGCCCATTGAATGTACATACGTTGGGTTCACCTGGTGTTGTGTGTATGGTGGGTTCCCTGCAAATTGTATATAGGTTGTTTTTTTTTACGGAATTCGTATTTATTCAAGGGGGGGTGCGTCGGGTTGTTTTCTCTTCTTGCTGTTGCATTTTGTTGTGTTCTTGTTGCTGTTCTTGTTATTGTTGAAAAATAGTGAGGCACACGCGCGGTCAAGGTGTAAATGCACTTTTATTGTCATTTTTGTATGTTGGCAGCCGGGACGGCTGCAAGCTATGCGGGGGGGGGGGGGGTGATGTAGGGGTGTTAAAGAGAGGGCCCGTTATGCATGGCAGCCTATGGAAAACAAACACAGTGGGCGGGGCTACGTAAGTGCACGAGGAGGTGCCCTCTACGACGTCCGAGCCAGACACCCTGGGGGGGGCTGGTTCGAACGTTATGATCCCCCGGGGCCCCACCCCTCAGGGAGGGGTTGGGTATAAAAGGGGATGTTCAAAGGGCTCGAGTCAGTTATGTTTAAGCTAAGGGAAGAAGACTGAAGACGTCTTAGATAGAGCCCTGGACTCCCCTAGTTCGATGTCCTTTTCAGGGCCGGACAGGACTGAGCCAGCGGCGTGGTCCCGAAAGCCAGAGCCGGTGCTCTTGTAAGAGCTGGTCTAGAACTCCGGGTACCGGGCCCGACTTACCAGTGTCGGGCCAGTTAGCCTCCCCTAGCCCATTAGTGGAGGATTCGGGGCTAGGACAGAGTTAGCTAGGGGTGTATCCCGAGTTATACGGGTGAGGGGGCCGATACCCCCTCGAGTGTGTATATGCCCACTGTCGTATTGTGAAATAAATATACGTGTGCCTCAACCTCGGCGTCAAGCGTCTTCACCGGTACTTCAAATGTATTCGCCATGTTGACGATTGCTTGTGTTGCAATCGAAATGTCGTATTATATTATTAAATTTATTTTATTTCTACGTAACTTTACCGAAAGAACCAAAGAGTAATTCCTGCAGTCACGAAAGCTTAAAATCAAGTTCATAACGTATTATGTCCCATGTAACTGTTATAACGTAACGTATTCCGTGTAGCTATTACAGACTGCCACACACTCCCACTCACGATCAGAGAGACAGAATGCCACACACTCCCACTCACGACCAGAGAAACAGACTGCCACACACTCCCACTCACGTCTAGAGAGACAGACTGTCACACACTCCCACTCTCAGAACGCGACTCGCACGAAGTAGCTCGGGTCTATTTGAGTAACTTCTATCAGCGGATCCGCTCGCTCCCGTTGTCATGAACGTTTACAAAAATAGGCAGGTAGAGTCTTATCGTTCATCATCACCATTACTTGGTGTCCACGAAAAGCGACGTATTATCATCTTACCTAGGTATAAATTGTTGTAGTTGATAAGGTACCGACAAGCAGCGTGTACGGGAAAGTCCGTGACACCGCTGCAAGCTCTATGAGCATACCAACAATCTTTATAGCACGAGGGGGTGGTGGGGGGCGTGTAGACACTTCCCGACCGGCCTGAGGCGCTTTCGCACCGCCAGTGGCAGACGGGTTGGGGTGGTAGCCACTGCGTGAACCACAGCCCCGCGTGCTCGTCACAAGCACGCAGCTCGCACATGGCTCGGAGCCGCCCCGTGCACGACTCACACACGGATGAGCGCGTACACACGGCTCGTAGACGCCCGCGTCTCCAGCCAGGACCACGAGATGACAGCTCCTGCTGCTCCTCATCTTGATGCCCGCGTGCACGGTGCAGCAGGGGCCCACTTGTAAACCATCGAGATTGAAATCGAATGTCTTTAGAACTGCTTTTTGCGTTTTTAGTTTTTTGTCCTTCACCCCGCACCTCCGATTAGCACGGTTGGTTACGTACGATGCGAAAGAAGTTCAGCACAAGTACACAGAGGTTGTGCACACCGCGCGCAGACGTGGAGAGGCGTGCGTCCAAGGCTCTCTGCGCAATTAATGTACAAATAACAACAAAACAAACGTTTCAATAACACTGCCGACGTGTCGGACAACGGCCCTTCTAAATGATAGCTCCATGAATAAAGACTGTTGCCCAAAACATCGCTTAAAATGTATAATTGTCCTTGTTAAGCCCACACACTGTTATGGACAAACGCGTATGTATGTTGAACTTGTTTCGCACCTCATATGCCAGGGCTCCCGACAACCCCAGTCCGCGCTCACCAGCAACCTCACCTCCACCGTCCGACGATCAATATAGTCCTTGCACGCTGCACGTGCCGCATGATTGCTAAACGCGTCCAACTGGACGTACGGTGCTCCCGATGGAAATTGAATAGCGCTCTATACGTCACACGGGGAACGCGTGTGGTGCACACACCGGAATCTTAACTTACACATTCCTGCGGAGGGAGCTGATAAGAACGTTGGGTTGCTCGGTCAATGGCAGGGTCAACGGCGGCGTGGTGTATTCCGCAAATATGGCCGACTGAGGGAATGCACAAGCCGGCGTGAGTAGGTTAAACGTTGCGTTTTATAAAGGCACCACGGGGTGACTAGCCCCTCCCCACCCAGCCCCACCCCTCCCACCCCCCACCCAGCCCCACCCTCCCTACCCTGCCCCTCCCCACCCCACCCAGCCCCTCCCCACCCTCCCCTCCCCACCCAGCTCCTTCCCACCCTCCCCTCCCAGCCCCTCCCCACCCTCCCCACCCAGCCCCTCCCCACCTTCCCCTCTCCACCCAGCCCTACCCCTCCCATTTTTGGATGCACGACGGACACAATAATCCCGGGGGCTGGTGTAACCAGGAGGTTCCTACCAGTATCAAGAAACTCAACACATTTGTCAATAACACTGCCTTAAAAGGGAAGAAAAAAAATTGCGACGTTTCGAGAAAATTTTTCTTTTTGAGCCGGGAAGGGCCATTTCCCGAATCGTCGCCCTTGTTTCCCATCAAGGCCACAGTGGTATTGACGAATCTGTTGAGTTATGTTATTTGTGCTCCATGCGTAACGGAGCAGCAGCAGCATCAGGAAATGATCATATTTAATTTCAATCACGGCTCCCTCTCTCTCTAGGACACGCGAGGCGTGTTTACCAATCATCAGCCAGTGCAGCGCGAAACGAATCTGATTAGCACGGGCACAAAGGGTTCGGGCTGGTTTGGGGGGGACGCACAGCGGAGGGTTCCGAGCGCTGGAGCGTGGGGAAACTCAATCCGTGAGCCCCCCCCCGGGGCGAGACATCTCACTCCTCGGTACCACCCCCACACCCAGAGGGTAGCGTCACATTAGAGATTCCAATTTCTCTATGCGGCCAATCACTGCCCTGGAGGGTGTGGTGGCTACCGCTGCTGCCTGTCAACCCAGTGATGTGGAGGCAGCAGCGAAGGGTTGGTGGATCACCGCAGATGTCATGAAACTTACCTATCCGTGGGGTGTCTACGAGGTTCCGTATCCGCCACCCCCATCCATCCGTCTCAGCAGAAGGCAGTACAGCGAGTGGATTAATCTCCATCTGATGCAATTTTCACGATGAAAACCACACGTTTTATTTTACAAGATAAGGCCCACTGAGCTCTTTTTAAGAAGCGACCTGGCCATCACAAATGACACCTCTCTTTCCCGTGTGGCCAGGCCGAGTCGGCAGCTCACTTCCAATCGTGCAGGGATACGATAAAGACAAAGATGCCCCCCGTGTAGCCTTCAACATGTTACGGTTGAAGGCCTGTACGTCACCACCACGCCCTTGCCACCTTTTACCGCTACAATGCTGATGTTGACACACGCAGCACCAGGTACAGTGCTCATTTGAGGCTGAGTCGACCTAGGGGAGGCCCGGCACCGGTTACAAGATATTCGTCACCAGTGTTGGTGGCCGTAAGCAAACTAGGGTTTTCTTAGCGCGGCCGTGCTAACCGCTGCGCCATCGCTCCCCTCCACGCGTGTGCATCGCATACGGCACACAGTATACCGCCACCAATACCACCACCAACACCATCAACAACACGGCAACACGCCTACACGCGGATGACACATCGCGATGCGCGTGCACAACGACCAGCGAACACCGATCCGCCTGCGTTTCTGTTTGTCTCTGTGTTCGTCTCTGTTTGTCTCTGTGTTTGTGTGTTTGATGGGGAGTGGTAGTGTAGTGGTTATTGCACTGCGCTGCGACGCCGACCACTCGAGTTCGATTCCCGTTCACGGCCAACACCAGTGACGATTACATGAACAGGGTCATGGGCCTCTCCTAGGTCGACTCCGCCTCAAATGAGTACCTAGTGCGGTGTGTAAATATTGCCACTGTGGAGACAAAGGCGGTCGGGCGTGGTGCTGGTCACCCACCCGCTCGTATGCCGTTCCGACCTTCATAGGTGTTACTCGTTTGCAGCACGTGCCCCAACAGTCCGTTCAGGTTACACGGGCGAACTTTGTTTGTATATGTCTGTATGGATGTGTGTCTCTCTACGATGCGTGTCTCTCTACGATGTGTGCGTATGCGCGCCTGTTTGTTTGTGTGTGTGTGGCACTTTATAAGTGCTCGCGAACAGCACTTGCCCCAACAGTCAAAGTCTATGGATGGGAGGGGGATAACTTTTGTGTGTTGTGTGCAAGCCTCTCTGTAGGAACACATCCGCGTGTCTGTGTGTGATGCTGTCTCTCAACAGTTCATGCTGGCGGTGATCTGTCTTCTGCCTGTGTGTGTGCGGGCACGCGTGGGAAACTTCTCTCCGACGTGCGCTCAAACCGGGGTCTCCTCGCCCCCGCCGCGTCTGCAGACCCTCGTGTAGAAGTTGCGCCACGACTGCGTCTTGCCCGACCAGATCCAGAAGCCCGAGGTGATGCCCACCACGAGCGTCATCAGGTACTTGATCATGAGCACCGCGAAGTGGGGCTTCATCGGCGGGTACGGGCGCAGGGGGCACGCGACGCCCAACTCGTGGCAGCTGCAAGCCGCCCAGCTGCGCTCCCACTGCGCGCGGAACGCCAGCTCGTAGAAGTAGCAGGCGATGAGGACGGTGGCGGGCATCGTGTAGAGCACGCTGAACACCCCGATGCGCACCATCAGCTTCTCGCGCTTGCCGTCGTCGTCGTCGTCCTTCATGACGGTGCGGGTGCGGAAGAGGCACACGAAGCCCGCCAGCAGGAACGCGGTGCCCACGAGGAGGTAGACGAAGAGGGGCGCCAGGACGAAGCCGCGCAGCGCGTCCACGCTATTGAGGCCCGCGAAGCAGACGCCCGTCAGCACGTCGCCGTCCACGTGGCCCGTGGCCAGGACGGTGATGGTCTTGACGGCGGGCACGACCCACGCGGCCAGGTGGAAGTACTGCGAGTTGGCCTCGATCGCCTCGTGGCCCCACTTCATGCCCGCGGCGAGGAACCACGTGAGCGAGAGGATGACCCACCAGATAGAGCTGGCCATGCTGAAGAAGTAGAGCACCATGAAGAGAATGGTGCAGCCCTCCTTCTTGGTGCCTTGCACCACCGTGCGGTAGCCGCCCTCGTGGAACCGCTCGTTGCACACCACGGCGTCCTCGAGCACGTAGCCCGCGATGTAGGCCACCGAGACGGCGCAGTAGCACCCCGACAGGAAGGCGATGGGCCGCTCCGGGTAGCGGAACCTCTGCAGGTCCACGAGATAGGTGAGCACCGTGAAGAGGGACGATGCGCAGCACAGCATGGACCACACGCCCACCCAGACGCGCGCGAAGCGCAGCTCCTGCTGCCCGAAGAACATGAGGCCGTGCGGGGTGGCGGACGTCTCGCAGGGCGCGCCGCAGTCCGCCTCGCCCAGGAAGCGGTAGTTGAGGTAGCTGGGCACCGCCAGCGCGGCGGGGCACGCGAAGCCCGGGGAGTCGCCCGGGCGCGTCGAGGCGCCGCCGTGCGGGGTCGCGCTCGGCTGCTCCTTGTGGCCCGCGCGCGCCGTGGCGGACGGCTCCGTGGCGGACGGCTCCGTGGGGTGTGCGGCGCCGTCGCTGTAGATCGGATGGACGCACAGCTGCTCGGTGCCCTGCACGGGGAAGTTCTCGCAACGGAGCCGCTCGGGCCACTGGAAGCCGAACTTGTTCATGAGCGTCTCGCAGCCGTGGCGCGCCCTGTCGCAGAGCGAGCGGCACGGCGGGATGGCCCTCTCGAGCACGGTGCACACGGGCGCGTACATGGAGCACAGGAAGAACTTGAGGTCGGCCGAGCACTGCACCTTGACGAGCGGGTAGAACTGCTGCATCTCCAGCCCCGCGTCCTCCTGGTTGGTGTGGCCCAGTAGGTTGGGCAGGATGGTCTGGTTGTAATTGATGTCCGCGCACAGTGGGATTGAGATGGGCTGGCAGGACTCGGGGTCGGGGAAGGTGATGCCCCGTTGGTCAATCGTGCCTGGCTGCTGCTGTTGGTTCTGCTGCTGCTGGTGCTGGTTCGGCTTCTGCTGCTGGTTCTGCTGCTGGGGGTACTGAGCAAAACTCTGCCGAGTAGCGAGGGCGAGGGTCGCGGCTGTCGCCAGGATGAGGAGAAACGCCGAGCGGCGCGGAGAGAATCGGCGCCAGATCGCGTGCCCACCGCTGCCCCGGGCGCGTCTATTCCTCGCCATCGCGTTCACCAGGGGAACTTTTCACTCACCCTCTCACTCACTCGATCACCAACCCACCGACGAACTCACCCACCCGCCCACTCACTAACTCATCCACCCACCCGCCCACTCATTAACTCACCCACCCACCCGCCCACTCACTAACTCACCCACCCACCCGCCCACTCACTAACTCACCCACCCACCCGCCCACTCACTAACTCACCCACCCACCCGCCCACTCACTAACTCACCCACCCACCCGCCCACTCACTAACTCACCCACCCACCCGCCCACTCACTAACTCACCCACCCACCCGCCCACTCACTAACTCACCCACCCACCCGCCCACTCACTAACTCACCCACCCACCCGCCCACTCACTAACTCACCCACCCACCCGCCCACTCACTAACTCACCCACCCACCCGCCCACTCACTAACTCACCCACCCACCCGCCCACTCACTAACTTACAGCGTGGAGTGTGAGTGTCACAATGTGCAATGTGAGTGTAAGAGCGTGGGGTGTGAGTGTCAGCGTGGAGTGTGGGTGTCACAGAGTGCAGAGGCGGTCTAGCAGGGCTCGCGGTGAGCAGAGCACTGAGAGAAAGTTTGGCGATCTGTCTCCCGTGCTCCCAGCGCCTCCTCCTCCTCCCTCTTCAAGAGCAGCGCTGGGCGCGAGGCTACAGCGCCGCAACCCCACTCAGCTTCACCACCTCCAACCCTCACCACCCCCACCCGCCCCGCCCCTCTCCACCCCCACTCCTCACCACCCCCACTCCTCACCACCCCCACTCCTCACCACCCCCACTCTTCACCACCCCCGCCCCGCCCCGCACCACCCCAACCCTCACTACCCCCGCCCTGCCCCGCACCACCCCCAACCCTCACCACCTCCACCCCTCACCACCGCCACCCTCACCACCCCCGCCCCTCACCACCTCCACCCCTCACCACTCCGCCTCTCACCACCCCCGCCCCTAACCACCTCCACCCCTCACCACCGCCACCCTCACCACCCTCACCACCCCGCCTCTCACCACCCCCGCCCCTCACCACCTCTACCCCTCACCACCCCCGCCCGTCACTACCCATACCCCTCAATCCACACACAACGCAAACAGTGCAACCGCACCCTCTGCATCTCACTGCATCGCGTGTTTGGCTGCTGCTTGCTCATCCCGGACAGAGCTCGCTCGCAGGGTGAACATGGGGGAGCGGCAGAGTGCGATGTCACAATTGTTAATTTATTTTCCCGATATTTAAAACAGATGCGGTGGTCATGCTGGGACACGCGCGCGCCAAGCCACGGTACTTACCGGGACGCGGTGGTTGTGTTACCCCCGTCTCGAACCCGCCGAGGGGAGGGGGCTGTAGGGTGTGTGTATGATCAAACAGAACCCCGACCCTCGATGGAGAGCGGTATAAACTGGTGCGGACCAGTTGGGTTATGTGGCACATGAGGAATGGATCACTCTTTTAATTATATCCTTGTGCAGCAAGGGAGTAAAGTGTGGTTCTGTGAAAGTGTGTGCTGTGCAGTGCACCAATGCATGTGTGTGTAGTGCTGAACTTTACGCGGACATCTTATTTTTTTTCCGTCGTCACTTTATTTTATCTACTCAGCACATTCTGCCACCCACTCTCCAGCGCGTTCTCCGCTCGCTCGCCGCACTCCGCCGGCCTCACTCGCTCCGTTCGTCCCTCTCTCTCTCCGTCTCTCCTTCCCCCGACTCTCCTCTCTGCTTCGCCCGTCTCGGCTTCGATCGTCTCGCTCTGCCTCGGCTTCTCCGTCTCACTCCAGCTGTCGCTCTCTCTCGGCTTCTCCGTCTCACTCTGACTGTCTCTCCCATTCCCGTTCCACTGCTAGTCTATCCTTTCTCTCGTCTCCTCTTCTTTTCCTGCTCCACCGCTACCCTATTCTATCTCTCATATCTTCTTCGTCTCCGTCTATACTTCTACCTTCTGCTCCACTGCTACCCCATACTTCTTCTTCTGCTCCACTGCTACCCTATTATATCTCTCATTTCGTCTTCTTCTGCTCCGACCGTCTCCGTCCAGCTCCCAGCACAACTCCCTGTCTCACTCTTATGCTCCCGTATTTTTCCCCGTCCGTATTAATTTCCAATTAATTAACCGACGTCCCCCCGACGCCCTGCGCCCGCGGCCCCCGCCGCCACCTGCTCCCATTCCCAGACTTACTGGCGCCACCTCGTCCCTGACAACAACAACCGGCCAATCACTGTGTAATAATCTTCCAGGAGACGGCTTCGGAATCAGTCCTTTTATTTCCACTCCACCATACACTTTTCTTACTCACTCTCCGTTGCTGGCAGACAACGGAGAGAGAGGACAGACTCCACACGCAGTTCCCTTCGCGCACGTGGCAACCCGAGGCTCCGTCCGCACGTGACCCTGCTTCTGTTATTTTCCGTCTGCCCTCGATCGTTCCCTCTCGCTCGCTCTTAAGACCCCCGTCACGTGGTTCCCCCAGCCAATCATGTATGGACAGCTCACACCATTCTCGATGGTTCCCTGTCAATCCCGGGACCACGCCCCTCATCCGGCTCCCCATTCGCTGGGGCCCGAATGGCTAGGCCAATCACTTCCGATGACCTGTCGTGATGACGCATGGGCCATGGTCCCAATCTCAACCCTTATTGGCTACGAGCAGGACCGGCAAGCCAATCCCCACGTGAACCCTCTATGGCTGTTATTACATCACCCCCCCCCCCCCGGTGAAAAAATTTGAGCCGTCTCGGCTGGGAAAGGGGTGAAGAACCAATTCCGTAACATCTTATTAGGGCACCAAGGTGCGTTTAACAATCAGAGGGTGAACAGGCGTTCCCGCGCCTAACAACATATAAAACAGTCACCCATAACAATTTTTTAAGAAAATCACAACATACATTAGGGCGCCCCTGCAGCGCGGTAATGACAGGACCTAAGCAACCGATCAAACGTTAGCGAAACGGAAGAGATTTCGACCGCGTACGCGACGCGGGACCCTCTCCGCTCCCAGCGCAAGGTCGCTTCGCTTCCGGACGAATAGGAGGTGGCAGGCTTGAAGGAGAGGTTGGTTGTTGGTGCACGGTCACGTCCAGGGCGGGCCCCGTTCGAGGGGGGGCAGCGGGGGCTTCCTCAGCCCTC